TAGTGGCTACAGTTGACAAAATAGTCAAATTTGCCCGACTTCTACGCTTTCATTGTAGCATTTAATCACACCATTAATTTCACCTTAGAAAAACGCAACCTGGCACCTGTTACAATGAATTATTTATGTTGGTTTCTACAGCAGCGTCCTAGTTTACAAATGGTAACCGTGTTAAAAGTCTGGTAGGGAGGACTTGTAGGGCCATATGAACAGGAATGCCCTAATAGCATTGCGCGCGTTAGCGTAATACGCAAATGCGCGCTTCACGCGTGCTAGGTTGTCATTGGCTGGGATAATTACGTAGTCGATAGGCGATTGGCTTATTGATTTTTTGCATGCTCTCATTGTCTTCAAAAAAGTAATATTTCGCTGCGTTTCGAAAAAAATGGGGGACTTTCGCAGGAAAGGAGGTAACCCCTGTCCGAATAAAAAATGAAACTCGATTTTTCGAGCTTCAAGCGCGCAAACGCGAGCTCGCTTGGAGCTCGTTTTTTCGAGCTCGTTTCGAGCTCGAACAGGCGGCCAAATCGAGCTCGATTTTTCGAGTTAGCGAGCTCGAAACGAGCTCGATTCGAGCTCGTTTTGCTATTAGGGTAGGAACACCCCGCTCACTCCAAATAGGCGGCCTTGCGACAAATTTCAGGAAGGGTAAATATTCCCGTGTTTTGACTCCAACATAAAACTAAACTTTAAACATAAATCCTTAACATAATCCTGCCGCAAACCCTCATCCTGACCTTAATCTCCACCTTAAACCGAACCCTATCCTTAACCTTAATTCGAAACCTTATTTCCCCGGAATTTAGCGCAAAGCAACTTGGATTGTGCACGGTTTCTGCTCCCATGCCCTATTTCGGCGGCCATATACGTCATCCTTACCAAAAAAAATTATCTGTGAATGTAAAGGCAATAGAAGGCACAGTAAGATGCCTATAAGAAGAAGCGCCATGTGGCCAACTCACCAGAAAGTGAGCAACTAGGGCACCATTGTCGGCAAAATCGTGACAGTCAATCCAGTTCTTTCGCGATGAGAGTGCGTTTACAGGCTCAAGTAGCGTGGCGGCCGGTTGGCGCTGATGGCAGATGCGGCACTGTAGGTCCGGAGGCTTTG